GTCTCCGGTTCGAACCCGGGCGAAGCCAATTTTTTTTCCCGTTTTCGCCTTTTGTTTCCCTGCGATGCAGTATATCAACGTCGGGTTCTAGTCCTTCTTCCTTAGCAAAAAGTAGCAACTTGTGTCTTGACGGAGATTGAAATGGGAAGAAAACAACTTTCGTTGGGTTTCGCAGGGAAAGAAAGGATCCCCAGTTACATTCGCGAGCTGAGGAAGGGGACATGAAAATTTCTTCTCCGCCTCATTGACATCTTTAATACGGTCACCACAGTCTCACAGGACATTACATGCTTTAGATGGTTATTAGTTGGAGGCTTGGAACAGATTATGACATATAATTGGATAGCTTGGAACACATCATATCATATCGCTATCAGGCAGCAGGAGCACGGACGCCGATAAGGCTGGTGCACGCACAGCTGCTCCGTCCTTGCTAACCGTTGAACCAAATGTCATGGCCTTTTTTGGTAATATAAATAAAATGAATTCATTCGTTACCGATATAAACCATCCGTAATCAAGCAGATTCATCACGGAGGAGACAAACGGTGTGAGACTATAAAAGAATTTATTTATTTATTTATGAATCCTCCATGGACGACACGACGAAGGTCCGACACAAAGGCACAGCTGGAGAGCCCTGTCGCATCCGCACGCAGCGCAGTGCGCAGATCGCCATCTCGACCCAAACCCCCACGCTGGCTGCTGCACTGAGCAGTAACCACCAGTCCTGCCTCCTGCTCCTGCCCTGCCGTCCAGTCCACCGTCGACGCCAGCCACGCCTCGCCTCTCAAAGATTCGATTCCCTCCTCCCTAGTCCCTCCCACATGGCCGGCGAACTGCGCCACCGCCGCGTGCCGTCGGAGGACGAGGACGGGGACGGGGACGAGGGCGTCGTCGCCTCCTCTCAAAGATTCGATTCCGCCGATGGCAGCGGCAAGGCCGGCACTTCTTCGTCCGGCGGCGCCGGGGGCGAGGGGGCGGAGCCGCGGAGGGAGAAACGGGACGCGCTGGGGTGGCTGGAGTGGGGCCGCGGCTGGATAGCCGTCGTGGGGGAGTTCCTCTTCCAGCGCATCGCCGCCAGCCACCTCGCCAACCCGCTCGAGCTGCCCCCGCTCGACGGCGTCTCCATCGTCGTCACCGGCGCCACCAGCGGCATCGGGCTCGAGATCGCAAGGTGCCTGCTTTTGCCCCTCCTTCGTCCCCTTGTTTTCTTCTGCCCCACATCACAAGATGTCATGGATGGATCTTTTAGCCGGCCGTTGCGATTCGCCTGCTCCACGATAGTTAGCTGCAGCTTTTTCATGTACTTGGATTCGAACGATTGATGATAATTTATTCCAGAGCAGATCGGTTTAGTGTCTGGGTACTGTGATTAGTGTTGCTGACTTATCTGTGTCGTTTGCTTAACCGAGTTTTCAGTTTCTCTCCTTGTAATTTGTACTATAAACACACAGAGAGAGAGAGAGAGAGAGAGAGAGAGAGAGAGAGAGAGAGAGAGAGAGAGAGCAAAAGGTGAAACATAGTAAACCTGAACAATTTTTATTACTTAATCTTGTTCATGTATATGGAACAACTACTTAACCAATTATGTATACTAGTATGGTATAAGTATTTGGTGTTGTTAATCACTTAATCTTTTATGATAAAGCAAATGCTTCACCAACTAACTGCTGAGTGCTGACTGCTGGACACTCAAATCTTCATCCCCGTGTAGTACACCTTAACATGCCCTGTGCTGCTGATCCAAAATCTTGTTTTTGTGAATCCCATCATTAAAAAATAAAACATGTCAAACTGCTCTACAAAATCTCTCTATTTACTCCATTTTATATCGGAGCACCTAAATGACTAAGTCTTTGTGTTATTATCACTGTAAAATAAAAGGTCTTCTTGTTGTCTTCAATTTTTCGTCAACCTGTGGGGATATTTTATTGGAGTTCATGCTTGCACAAAGCATGGTACAAAACTATAAATCTGCAAGCATCTTGTTCCCAAACTGGAACTGGTGTGGTACTAACTGGATCCTTTTTACCTTAATGTACAAAACAGGCAACTCGCCCTCGCTGGGGCACATGTTGTGATGGCTGTTAGGAGACCCAAGGTGGCACAAGAGTTGATTCAGAAGTGGCAGAATGAAAATTCAGAAACAGGAAGACCACTGAATGCTGAGGTAATTTTGAACATACTTGCTGTGCGACCCTGGATGATGAATGAGGCTGTGTAACTTGATTAAATTTTGTATGGCATGACCTGATTGTTGTCTGCAGACATATTACTGTTCTTTTCCAATCTGATGCAATTAAACATAAGTTTGAGCTTCTGCTATCCGTTTAAAATGACTTCCTAATATATTAAGCAATATTTATGTACTTAACTACATATATTACCTATGCGTATGTTCACCACACTTGCCACCTTTATAATCAGTCACCAGAGACGCATATCATGATTGGTAAAGATATATAACTTACAACTTACAAGCCATAACTTCAGAATCATAAATTTGGTTTAGTTGTCTGCTATTTTACATTATTTACACCTTACTCTTTAAGGTGATGGAACTTGACCTGCTCTCCCTCGACTCGGTCGTAAAATTTGCTGATGCTTGGAATGCTCGTATGGCACCCCTACACGTGTTGATCAACAATGCTGGCATCTTCGCTATAGGAGGTCTGCAAGATTATTTATTAACACAATCGCTTGGATTTTGACATACTAAATCTCAGGTTTCAATTAAGCACGTATTTTAAATTGTAGCAGAGATACCAACCTTTTCCATTCTTTGTAGAACCCCAGCGTTTTTCAAAGGATGGACATGAAGAACACATGCAAGTTAACCATCTTGCACCTGCATTACTGGCGATGCTGCTTATACCTTCCCTTCTCCGAGGTTCTCCCAGCAGAATTATTAACGTTAATTCAATTGTGAGTTTTCTTGTCTCACCATCAGTGGTATTGCAGGCACAGTTTTCTACCATGAATGCAAATATTTTGAATTCTATTTCAATTTAGAATCAATGAAGTTGCAACTCTACAATTCTTTTGTTGCTACATTAGCATTATCTGACCTGTGTGTGTTTCCAATTGCAGATGCACACTATAGGTTTTGTTGATGCTGAAGATATGAACTTGAGAAAACATAAATATAAAAGTTGGTTGGGATATTCAAATAGCAAGTTGGCACAGGTAACTTTTTGTTAAAGACTGCTGACAAAAGTTGCTCCCTTTAAAATGCTAGTTCCCTTTTTGTACCTTTGAACTGCTTATTTTTGTGTCCATCAGAATAGAGGTGTGTACCTTTAATCTAGTACATCTGAATTCTTCTTGTTGCACTCTCAGGTAAAATTCAGTAGCATGCTTCATAAGAAAATTCCTGCAGAAGCTGGGATCAGTGTAGTTTGCGCTTCTCCTGGAATTGTCGACACGAATGTTGTGAGTTCCATTTCCATTTCATTTGTGGCCCGATCATTTGTGCTGTTTCAGGAGGTGGATCATTATACATAACATGTATGCCTACCTAACATTCACATTTTGAGAAACATCGAGGTTTGGATAGTCATCACTTATGATTAGTTGAACGCAATGACAGAAAAGAAAACTCAAATTAAAAGGTGCATATATTGTTGGATGATTAATTCACATGTATCATAAGTTCTACCACTCCCTAACAAAGTATATTTATCACTCATCCTGATGACCACAATTTAGCAACCTATTCTTCTTTCTGTCTTTATTCACTATATATAAATGTTAGCTCAACACTTGTTACATGACGCAGGCAAGAGACCTTCCTAAGATTGTTGTAGCTGCATATCATTTGATTCCCTACTTCATATTTGATGCTCAAGAAGGTGAAGTTACTGAACTTCTGCTGTCGCCTCCTGTGTCAGTCAACAGCTTGCACATCTTCTGATATACACAAACATTCTGTTTTGGATCCCATTCAGGTTGTAGGAGTGCATTATTCGCAGCATCTGATCCCCAAGTTCCAGAATACTGCGAGATGCTGAAGTCGGATGACTGGCCAGTTTGTGCTTGCATTAACTATGACTGTAATCCGATGAATGCATCTGAAGAAGCGCACAATCTTGAAACCTCACAGCTGATCTGGGAGAAGACGCTAGAGATGATTGGCCTTCCGCCAGATGCCCTGGAGAAGCTCATCGCCGGAGAAACAGTTCAGTGTCATTATGGACAACAGGAGGCAGAATAGGATATCGCACAGATCTACCACTTTTTAGTTAAGGGTTTAGAGGTGGTTTGTTCCAGCCTTTAATTAGAGCACCCATGTTATATCATTTTGATCCTGAATTTGCAGGGGAAAGCACAGGGGAAGGAAGACAAAGAATTTGTTAACAGCTACCAATCTTTGCTTTTTTTTTTTTGGTGTGCAAATTGACGATGTAAAAGAGTTGTAGAAACAAATCTCCCCTATTATTTGATTATTACAGATCAATGATATACTCGAGACAGAATTTTAAGAGATACCTACCCTGGGCCTTTTTCCCTCTACGAAGCTTTTTTTCTTGGTGTGCTCGCTCCAAGTGCAAACATATTTTCATTGGTTGACGGACTTGATTTCTAGTACTGCTGACAAAATTCATGGAACACCGCAAGTGCAAATGCTGGCGGTATAGAGATGATTTAAAAGATTTAGTTCATCAAATTCATTTCCTGCTATGCATATGCTCAGCTAAGGCGAAATATTGGACACCAAGAACAGGATCAGCCTCCACAGGTCACGCTCACAAATGGGACAAGGGCACAAGGCAGCAAAGGATATTTGCCAACTAGAGGGTTAAGATCCATATATTAATTACAGGCACCACCCTTCAATAGAACAAAGTAAGTTGATAACGACTGCTGGAAACAACTGTTACAGCATAAACATGACGCGAGTTGTGAATTGATTCCTCTCCAGGGACCTAACTGACACTCTGAATTGCCGCCCAATGCATGAAATGGCACGATGAGTGAGCATTCCAAGGTAGCTTCCCCTAAGCATTTGGCGGCCAGAGCTTTGGATCTTGAGTTGTGTCCACGATGGTTGGAGGCAACCACTGCCACATTGCCATCCCAGGGAATGGTGCAGGGATCGGAGCACTTTTGTTGGCTGGAGCTTGCTGTGGCGGCACAAATGGAGTAAAAGCAGCGGGATGGTATGAAGCTGGATGAGGGAGATGGGGAACATATCCTGTAGGAGCTACACTCATAGCTTTGACTTGCTGTTCCAGCCTATCCTTTTCTACCTTCAGTCTCACTTTCTCTTCACGGAGCTCATTTTTCTCCTCCTGAAACAATAATAGAGCATTTCCTTAATTAAAACATACATTTGATCAGACAGTAGGCTTCTTATAGATGCGTGGGAGGTTACACTGCCATCTCTAAACTTGCATATTTAAAAATGGCAAACCTAGTCTAGAAACCAAATTGGACCAAGCAATCGCTGCAGACACATAGGGCATGATTGTGAATTCAGTAGATCTAGGTTTGCCTGTTTGGACCCTGGTGCAGAAGCAGAAGACCAAAAATACCATGCATTTCCAAGAAACAACAAAACCGAAGACATTGAGAAGCATGTGGAGGGCATCAAAGATTCTGAAATCCAGTAGAAAGATTTCTAAGGATAGGCTGTATGAGGAAGATACCTTCAGGTCCTTGATATTCTCCCGCAGCTTCTCATTTGATTCTTTAAGCTTTTCTGCCTCACCTCTAAGTTGTGCCACCATACGGGCTGCATCACTCAAGATGTTTGCTTTATCCAACTTTGCTTGTTTACCAGGATTCATAACTGAACTTAATTCCAGGAACCTGCAATTCAAAATAACAGATGAGAACTAAGATATGTGCAAGTAAGTGCATTCACCATTCCTTTCTTGAGCAATGGTTTGAGACATATAGTATATATTTGCATTACCTGTCATTCAGCTTGTCCCTCCTCATTTTTTCACGACAAGCTTTGGATTTTGGACCAGATGAAGATGGTTCATCTCTACCCCTGCACAGACCAAAGTATTTCATATTATAGAGCAGAACATAAGGAAATGCCATGTACAAGTCAAATTCTATGTTCATAGGCGTGATTCCATTGGCAAGCATAAGAAATGAAACACAACGGATCACATGGGAATTGAAATTTGATGGAAGATAACTCATAGCAATACGCTATACAGTCACTATTATCTGATTGCACACTTAATGTTTTACATCTTGTTGGCATTTTAGAACCTTTAAAGTCTAAGGTTTCCTGTTTGGGGCTTGAAACCCATGAAAAGGAAGGACAAGATGCCCAAATAGACACACAATGGATAGGAACTTGACAGACTGACAGAGTTCAGCTACGTGCACATACCTCACAATCAGGATGAAGAGTAAAGACAAGAAACAATACCTTTTCCCCAAATTAGCTTGCTCAAATCCACAAGCATCTCCATTGACACCCTCAATCCCATGTCTGCTACAATTGCAAAGTAAGTACCAAATCCATCAACAGGAAATACACAGAGAGGAAATGCACGTGCAGAGTAGCTGCTCAAGTATCTGATAAACCATCGTGCTGCTTGTATTTCAGTCAAACATACCTCCAGAGGCACCGGTGCGTAGTGGAATCCTAAGCTAGGATAGTAACGTGAAGAGAGGCAGAGGAAGACCAAAGTTGACTTGGGTAGAGGCAATAAAAGGATACTTGAAAGGATGGAATATACCCAAAGACTTAGCCTTAGATAGGAGTGCTTGGAAAACAGCTATTCACGTGCCTGAACCTTAATTGCTTCTGCTGGATTTCAACTCTAGCCTACCCCAACTTGTTTGGGACTTAAAGGCTTTGTTGTTGTTGTTGTATAAGAAGCAAGGGTAACGTCTAGGATCATGATAATGCAAATCACTACAATATGTTATATAACGCATGATGAGCTGCGAAAAAGGCTATTCCAGCTAGCACACAAACTTCAATTGCTTGGAGATACTTGTACATGATAACAGCAGCAGTAGTCATATATAACAAGTGTTCGTTAACCAGTAATGTTGCATATCACCATTCACAGGTATCAGTTCCCACCTATGAACCAACTAGCGCTACAAAGCTCTGAACCTCAGATGCACATATCAAACCCAATCTACTCGGGAACAAGGAAAAGTGACATTTCCCTAACTCCATAAACCGAGAACGTAGATTAGGTAACAGAATTGCAGACTGAAAACGGCCAGATGCATAAGCCTTCCTCCTTTCCTTTCGAAAAAAAAAGATAATATGCGCATGCTGTTTCAAATAGCACATAGTTTTTAGAAGTTATACATCAGCCAAATCAAGTAATTTGTCTACCACCGCCCACAATTTTTTAACCAAAGAAAAAAATAGCAATCGGCAGCGACAACGACCTCGGGAGTATAAAATCCATGCACCGCGCCATAAACCGAAACGCAATCTACATATACACAACGAGAAAGGGCTGTTCCGGTTGGCATCGCCATACCCTCCGTCGCAGAAGATGGCGAGATCCCCGTCGTCGCCGGCCCCGCCGAGGAGGAAGTCCTCCACGGGGTCTCCGCCTACGGCGCAGTCCATCGTCGCGGTCGCGGCGGCCGGGGGATTCCGCGGTCGGGGCGAGGCTAGGCTAGGGTTCCGCGGGGTCAGGCGGGCGGGCGAGAGCGAGACGAGAGGTCGAGAACGAGCCGGGACCGGGAGAGCGCTTTTGCAGAATGCACCCTAGATGCGACCCCAGTTGTTAACAAGGTCCTCGCGGAGGCGCGGGAGAGGGGCCCGTTTGGAATTTCGGGAGACGCGAGGGGCCTTGATGCGGTGAAGTTGGTGGAGGGCTGGTTGGTGGTGGCTTGGCAAGAGTTTGGAATGGAGGGGGAAAAGGGTTATTATGATGGCCATGTGAAGAACAAGATGGATGGATGGTCTGTGTTTCGCAGCCATGTGGTCCTGCTCGTCGTTTTGTGTGCTTCGTGTATTATATGCTGTTAATTTGAGGTCTGTTTTTGATACAAGAGCTAATTGCTAGGTAATTAAAATTAACTAAATTAGCTCTGGTATATCCAGATGTATTGAGGACATGTTTGTTTCAGCGATGACCTATCGGTACTGAACATGTATCTGAGTATCTCATCCCATCGCAAAATTATGTGAAAGAAAGGTAAATACTAACCTGGGTATTAGCAAATGTACCTCTTTTATGTCTTATGTTGTACTTGTTTCGTTCTAAATTATAAGATGTTTTAGCTTTTCTATATACATAGTTTCTACCATGCACTTAGATATACACTATGTCTGGATATATATAATAAAAAATAATGTATTTAGAAAAGCTAACCCGTCTTATAATTTATAACAGAGGGAGTACGTAAGACACGATATAAGACATCGTGAATATTGAGAATAGGGAAGTTTATATCATAGGCAAGACTCTCACGCTCTTCGTGTGGGAGAAACGTGGATTTTGAGTGAAGATGGTAGGGTGGACCACAGATATGAGAGGCACAGAGGATGCACAAAGACTGGCCCCTCCGTGTGGCGACCAAACGGCGAGCGCGTGGAGTCAACACTGGACTTGACAGTGATGGGCCGTAGTGGATGAAGTATATATTCGGTGGTGGGCTTACTCCTACCTGACGGATCGGATTCCCTTCACCAACTTGGTTGGGCTGTTTTCCGGAGCCCACTATCTTCAGTTGTTTTGGGCTGTCACCTGTTGCAGTGGTCCAAAATCAGGTGTGACCGTGACATGCAAACCACCTGATGCCTTTATTCTACTCTCCCTCCTTTTTTTAACCTTTACAAAGAGAGAACAAATGCCTTGCGACTAGGGCCTTGTTTAGATTGAAGATAATTTCAACCCGATGAATAGTAGCACTTTCGTCTTATTTGGTAAATATTGTCCAATCGTAGACCAACTAAGTTCAAAAGATTCATCTCGTGATTTCCAACTAAACTGTGCAATTAATTATTTTTTTTACCTACATTTAATGCTTCATGCAAGCGGCTAAAAATTGATGTGATGGAGAGAGAGTGAAAAAACTTGGAATTTTGGAGTGATCTAAACAAGGCCTAGATGAGACTGAGACTACCAGGGAGGAAGCAGGAGCTGACATTTCTGACACTGATCAGACATTTCCATTGAATTTTCCTCTAGATTCCATTGTTTTTTTCTGGGCCCACAAAGAGCACAAGCACAAAACATTGGTGAACATTAACCAAATTTCCTTATAAAAAAAGTTGTAACAAATTTGAGTGATTTATGGTTTTAGTTTGCACTACAAGTGCTTCTTAGACCTTCAGCTTACAAGATACGCAGCTCTCCCACGCGTTCGAGAAAAAGACCTTCAGCTTACATATCCACTTATCCTATGCCATCCTCAGTTCAGCAGCAGTGGGGCCAACACTGCGTAGAGCTATGATTATTCGGCTGTAAAAAGGAGGGCAACTTCCTGGCTTTGGACTTTCGGTCCAAAATTCCATATATGATGTTTTTGCAGCTCCACTTGATCTTGATGCCTGTCAACTCACACAGAGACACACAGATGGATGCAGGATGCTGCTCCAGCTCCACTCACCCTGAAGAAAATTGCAATCGGTCCAAGTGCTGCCTGCAGATTCCCTTCTTCTGCATGCCTCTGCTTTATACACCCCACCACCACCCCCCACACACAGCAATATTCCATGGATGGATGGATTCCCCTCCTTTTTTATCACCCAACTACAAGAGTGCAACGAGGGGTTGCAAACACCTGGAAATGTGCCGGGCAATCTGCCAATTGCTGGGTATTATTACTCATCACTAAGCTAGATGCATGATCCACTACCGCCACCTAATTGCGTCTCATCAACTCATAAAAAAAAGTTACTGCTTTTTTATCTGAATTAATTAAAAAAAGGGGCCTAACTCAGGACTAATGAAGAGATAATTGTCTAATCTTCTAGACTAGTGGTTTTTTCCTCAAACATTTTTCCTTGACTGTACTAAGCTTCTGAAGTTCTTGTTGTACAGTACAGTAGAAGCCTGCCGTGGGGAAAAGACCAAATGGATACAGAAAAATATAGACAAGCTTTTTTATTAAAAAACATACATGAGAAGAATTCTAGCTTAGATGCATATATTTCAGAGAAGCAACTGAGGGCCTGTTTGGAATGCAGGAATTTTACAGGAATTACACAGGAATTTCACAGGAATCAATTCAATTTTACAGGAAAAACGCAGGAACAGGAAAAATTTCCCTTATTCCAAACAGGCCCTGAGAATATTTGGACAAAATCCAGGGATTTTACCTTTCGGCAAATGAGATAATGAAAAAACTAGGCTTGGACAGGAGATTGTGAAGTGACCAAGAAGATCTGCAACATCCTCTGATATCTCCTGCTTCTCAAGCCCTAACAAGAAGTGGCTTCCATCACCTCCACTGCCAACATATTTTATGCCTGCACAAAATGGTTGACATGCTGTGAGCCGTTGCTTCTGATCCAGTGCTCATCATGAGATTAAAGAAAGCTAATCCCTGGGTGCAAAGCAAAAGACACCACACCAATGTCACCTCCTAATGAGCCCAAAAAGAAAACACCACCACAGAGATGGACTCGATATTTTTAAACACACGCCCGCACAAAAGAACTCCATATGTACCTCATCCCTACATGGCAACAGTGATGTGGCTGACCCTGAAAATCATGCTGTTTTTTAACCATATCCTAGCAAAAAAACAACTTTTTGGTGCCTTGCACTACCGTCTGGTATGGTGATGACAACTTTTGCAGATTCATGGATGGTCATTCATAAAATTATTAGAAAGGTCACTGGAGATCATTTGTCCAGTGGAAAATAAAGGCGCAGATGTGCCTTAAGGTTAACAATTAGTGCAGCCATCTTGGGGCTAAATGGTGATAAGTAACCGCCATTTCGCTGCTGTGAGTTTGTCAGCTGCAAAGCTTGCCTTTTTAAAAACAAAAGGAAAATCAGAGTAGCCGTGAAGCATTCCTTTTGGTCTTGTGATCCAAGAACACTGAAACAGCTGTCCTGAAACTAACTTGTGTGCAGCAATGGAAAAACTAGGTGGTTGCTCATACATTTAACATTTTGTTGCTGGTAAAGTAGTAACTATTGAAGTGTAGTTGAAATGCTGCTCAGCTCATGGATTTTGTTAGTCTACCAATAAAATTTGGCCTTAAACTACTAGATTTGCATATTGCCATATTCTTTATTCATATGTTTTTGAGTTGACAGATGCCTTCGCCTGCAGGAGTCTTGGCCCCGCGGCCAACCTCTCTATCTCCTACGCCTATGAGACAGAGAGTCTTGCTCTCGCCGAAGCCACCGACCTCTCCATTCAGATGGCCAACGTGGTCACCGACGCCAAGACGGTGCCCGCCGACGACCTGGAGATCCCAGCGCTGGAGCCTCCGCGTGCCTCCGCCAAGTCCAAAGAAACCAAGGAGGTCGGCCTCGGCCTCGACGATCCCTCCAAGACCGTGAAGATTGGGGCTCACCTCGACCCCAAATAGGAAAGCGCGCTCGTCTCCTTCCTACGTGCCAACGCCGACGTGTTTGCTTGGAAACCTGCAGACATGTCGGGGGTACCACGGGAGAAGATCGAGCACTCCTTGAATGTCTCGCCGACCGCCAAATCGATCAAGCAAAAACTCCGACGATTCACGCCAGACAAGAAGGAGGCTATTAGGGTGAAAATAAAACGGCTCCTAGCTGCCAGATTTATAAAAGAAGTGTATCATCCTGAGTGGTTAGCAAACCCTGTTCTTGTTCAAAAAAAGAATAAAAAATGGAGAATGTGCGTTGATTACACTGATCTCAACAAACACTGCCCTAAAGACCCCTTCAGTCTGCCTCGGATAGATGAGGTTGTAGACTCCACCGCCGGCTGCGAACTGCTCTCCTTCCTCGATTGTTACTCCGGCGATCACCAGATTTCCCTCAAGGAAGACGACCAGATCAAGACGTCGTTCATCACACCTTTTGGTGCGTACTGCTATACCACCATATCCTTCGGACTCAAGAACGTCGGGGCAACCTACCAAAGGGCCATCCAAATGTGTCTTGATCAACAGATAGGCCGCAACATCGAAGCTTACATCGACGATGTGGTCGTCAAGTCCAAGACCGCCGATAATCTTATCGCTGGCCTCAAGGAAACGTTCGCCAACCTAAAAAGGTACAGATGGAAGTTGAACCCTTCAAAGTGCATCTTTAGAGTTCCATCCGGCATACTCCTGGGCTACATCATCAGCGCCCGCGGCATCGAACCCAACCCCGACAAGGTCTCCGCCATCACCAACATGGAACGGCCAACGTCTGTAAAGGATATACAGAAGCTTACATGTTGCATGACTGCTCTCAGCCGCTTTATATCGCACCTCGGTGAAAAGGGACTACTGTTCTTCAAACTCCTCAAGGCCTCCGAGCGCTTCTCTTGGTCGGAGGAGGCAGATACAGCTTTCGAGCAGCTCAAGTTGTTTCTAACGAAGCCTCCGATCATGACAGCGCCTCGACCAGATGAAACTCTACTGATCTACATCGCCGCCACTTCGCGCGTTGTTAGCACAGCTATTGTCGTCGA